CACACAGAGGACACATCAGGATCCTGGCAGCCTAAATCCCTTTGCAGTGAGGATCTGGCACGAGTGGGCCCTTGCTGGATGCATTCTGCAGCTGCAGGCAGCCAGAGAAACCATAAAATGGGAAAACAGCAAAGCCTGGCTGGGTGAGCAGCAGTTCTGGAGCTGTGGGTGTGCAAGTTCAGTTTGCAGGTACCAGGTGTTCTGTGCTGGGGAGGAAATGCACGACTCAGCTCCACTGGATTTATTGGAAGTGCAGTCTGGAAAATCAATCCATCTGTGGGAATTGGGGTTTTCCCCTCCTCATTCTTCCTATTATTTACTATTCCATATATTCCTGTTATTATTTATTTATTTATTTGTGTGCACATGTGGCTGGATGTGCTGAGGTGCCCTGGCCAGGCTGCACCTACCCCTGTCCAGTTCCACTGCATTTATTGAAAGTGCAGTCTGGAAAATCAATCAATCAATCAATCAATCAATCAATCAATCAATCAGTCTGTGGGAATTGGGGGCTTTCCCCTCCTCATTCTTCCTAGTATTTATTATTCTAGATATTCCTGTCATTATTTATTTATTTATTTATTTATTTATTTATTTATTTATTTATTTATTTGTGTGGACATGTGACTGGACTATTTATTTATTTGTGTGGACATGTGGCTGGATTATTTATATATTTATTTATTTATTTATTTATTTGTTTATCTATGTGGACATGTGGCCGATTAGTTTATTTATTTATTTATTTATTTGCTTATTTATTCATTTATTTATTTGTGTGGACACGTGGCTGATTTATTTATTTATTTATTTATTTATTTATTTATTTGCTTATTTATTTATTTGTTTGTGTGGACATGTGGCCGAATTATTTATTTATTTTTTATTTATGTGGACATGTGGCTGATTAATTAATTAATTAATTAATTAATTTGATTTGTGTGGCTGGATGTGCTGACATGCCCTGGCCAGGCTGCACCACCCTCTGTGGGACCTCAGGAACAGCACCAAAACCCAAAGTGCACCCTGAAATTTATTAAATCCCTGCAAGTCCCAGGCTGCAGCCCGTGCANTATTTGGTATTTATTATCATTTACAGACAAGAAATCAATTTGGTTATGACAATAAATTTTCTATTTATTGTCATTTACAGATAATAAATAAATGTGGCTATTTGCAAATTTATTATCATTTATAGTGAGTTTTCTTTTTTTGGTAAAAAAAGTTTTCTTTTTCTTTCTTGGGGGGTATTTTTAACTTCTACTTTTCAGCATTTGTCACTTTGGCTATTTGGTATTTATTACCATTTACAGGTAATAAATCAATGTGGCTATTTGTGATTTATTATCATTTACAGATAAATCAATGTGGCTGTTGCTATCTATTATCATTCAAAGTAAGGGGTTTTTTATAATCTTGGGGGTATTTTTAACATCTATTTTTCAGCATTTGTCACTTTGGCTATTTGGTATTTATCATCATTTACAGATAATAAATCAGTGTGGCTATTTGCTATTCATTGTCATTTATAGATAATAAATAAATAAATAAATTTGATATTTATTATCATTTATAGTAAGTTTTTTTTGTAACCTTGGGGGTATTTTTAACATCTACTTTTCAGCATTTGCCACTTTGGTTACTTGGTATTTATTATCATTTACAAAAAATAAATCAATTTGGTTATTTGGTATTTATTATTGCCATTTGCAGATAACAAATAAATTGGCTATTTGCTGTTTATTACCATTTAAAGATTATAAATCAATGTGGCTCTTTGCTGTTTATTATCATTTAAAGTAAGGTTTTTTTGTAATATTTGGGGGTATTTTTAACACTTCCTTTTCAATGTTTGTCACTTTGGCTATTTGGTATTTATTATGACTTACAGTTAATAAATCAATGTGGCTATTTGCTATTTATTATAATTTACAGATAATAAATCAATGTGGCTATTTGCAATTTATTATCATTTACAGAAAAGAAATCAATTTGGTTATTTGCTATTTATTGTCATTTACAGATAATAAATAAATCAATGTGGCTATTTGGCATTTAT